CATGCTGTGAAGGATTTTTCTCAATTCTAAACTTCGACTGCGACTCCTACCTCCAGAGATCATCTCATCTGATCCTGGTAAGTTTTCTACCTTTAAAATTTTTCACCCAATTAATTTTTAGTTTTCTGAGTTGTGATTTGTGTAGAATTTAAGGGTTTATACTCTCTAGGTTTTTCATCTTTAGATTTAGTAATTTTTCCTATATATATTTTTCCAATTTTTAATTTGTGTAGAATTTTAGGATTTATGATTTCTATATTTTTCACTTTTGGGATTTGTCTTATTTTCTCTCTTTTGATTGGTTTAGGTTTTAGCCTTTTTGGGTTTGATTTCAATGAAATGTCCATTTCAAACATACTCGCTCAATAGTATCAATTAGTGTGGGAACTACTTCGTTGTTGTTTTGACCTTCGCAATAGAAATAAGTTAGGATTTCTATCTGCAATTCCACAATATTTATATGGTGGAAATTTCTAAAAAATCGTAAATATATATACAGATGATATAATTGAAAATGATAATGTGTTTAAAAGAAATCAAGTATCCTCTACCACCGAGGGTATTGGTGACTCAATCATGGAATGATTTCTCAAAAGAGCTCAAATATCTTCTACCACCGAGGGTGAGGGTGACTCGCGACTATCATTATCATCGCCACCGAAATTTGAAGTCAGGAAGAATGTTGTTGCAAACAATATATTCTAATTTGAAATTTGATATTGAAACTCTTGTTACGTACGTATAATATAATTGATAGTAATCGATTATGCAAAAAAAAAACAATTTTCACATTTTATCATATTTAACTATTAAAATTTTCCGCCCCTTCCGAAAATTCCTAGGTCCGCGGCCGTCTGCAGCATGAAGATATGTTTCAGTTGAACTGTTCCTATATTACATCAAGATCGGACTCTCAAACCGCATAAAAGATCAACAATCTCCATCAACAAGATCGCACTGAACTCTGTACAATTGTATTTCAAACTGTAAAATAAAAACTTTTTTTTTGGCAGCAAAGGTTCAATTCGCATCATGTACAAATCTGTTAACCAATCAGGCAATCACATTGGGAAAAAAAATAAAAATAGCGAAGAAAAGACGGAAAATTTACCTCGAAAAGAGAAAAGGGCTACAGTGAAAGAAGTGGTGGCCAGAGAGGCGTCGACGTCGGCGTGGCTGCAGCCCACAGTGGTAGCTCGAGGAGGATGCGGCGCAGTGATCGGCCCGAGGAGGACGCGGCAGCGATCAAGAGGAGATAACGAAGAGGAGGCGAATTGATCGAGATTTAGGGTTTTGGAAAAGAGAACGGGAGGAAGATGGGGGCAGATTAGGGCATGGATGTGGTTTTTGATCAGTTAGCGGGGTAGGGCTTGGGTGTGCGGGTCGGGTCGGGTCGAGTCTCTCTCTCCTAAGTGGGTAGCAAAACGTTGTTCATCAAACTTTTTAACCACTCATATTGCCTAAAGATCATTGCATGATATAAAAAGATTTTTTATATTAATTAATGAGTGGCTAGAAAGTTTGGTGGACATCAACTTAAATTGATAGGAGTCTTACTCTCTTTCTCTCTCTATATATTTATTTATATATATTAATAAATGAGTGTCTATAGGGGGGACAAGTGAGGTGTCCCCCTCCTATTGGATAATGAGTTCGCCATCATTAATGATGACCAACTCATTATCTAAGGGGCTGTTTGCTTGCCAAAAAAAGAAGGAAATCAAGGAATAGGAAACCTATTTCCTTAAAAAATTGTTTTATGGTTGTTTGGTTGGCTAAAAAAAGAAGGAAATCAAATAATAGGAGATGAGTTGTCACAATAATATTGGATGATGTGAGTATTTTTTTAAGAAAAGTTGTATTGAGGTTGTTTGGTTGGTTAAAAAAGAAGGAAATCAAAGAATAGGAAACATATTTCTTATAAATAGGTTCTTCTCTTGTGTTTGGTTCATTCTTAAAAATAGGAGATGAGATGAGATGAGATGAGTTGTCATTATATTATTGGATGATGTGACCCACACTTAAGGAAATCAATTTCCTTGTTTTTTTGGAGGAAATTGGTGGAGATGAAATGGAGATGAGATGAGATGAGTTGTCACAATATTATTGGATGATGTGGTTGATTTTTAAAGATGAGATGAGATTGAGATGAGATGAGTTGGATGATGTGACCCGTTTCTTTTATTTGGTTTATTTTATTGGATGATATGAGATGAGTTGTTGGATGAAAATAATATTTTATTGGATGATGTGGATGGGTTGTTGGATGAAAATAATATTTTATTAGATGTTGTGGGTAAATTTTAGGGATGGAAATAGTGAAAATTGAAATTTTGGAGATTTCCAAGCTCCAATTTCCTATTCTTGGGTTTTTGGAAACCAACCAAACAGCCCCTAATAGGAGGGGGACACCTCACATGTCCCACTTATTGGTCCCATATTTTGGGTCCCTGTAACAAAGCTCATAATTGATACAGATTGTTCGTGACTTTTTTTTTTTGGGAACTAAAAACAGTGACTTCTTTAAATGATAAAACTTATATTTGAAACTATAATATTATTATACGATTGAGAATTGAAACAACTAATTAAACTGATGACTAGTGGAGAGGCTGTCGCATGTCTAAAAGAGATGCGTATTAAAGGCAAGAAAAACAATATTTGCGGGGAAGGGAAAAAAAAAGCCCTAAAAATGACATTTTGCAGCTTATTTGTTGTTCAACAAATTTGCATTTTATTCCCGCAACCAAATCTATTCTGCAAGCTTTACACCAGTCATCTTAGGAGGTTAGGTGGCATTTTATTTTTCGGTTCCTGGGGGCAGCTCCTTTTGATGCCAAACATTATCATTTAGAAATTAGAATCAGATCCCACGGTTAAAAGTGGAACTTGGTTCCACCTGTCTAACTTAAAATTCATGGTTTTCTACGTGAGAACGAATTCAGTATTTCAATAAAACACTTTTTAAAAATGACGACTTCGTAAAACGACAAATTTGTGCTGAGAGGAAGAACTTACTGTTGATCATGCAATAATGCAGCTAAGGGCCTGTTCGTTTGCCTTAAAAAAAATGGGAAATCAAAGAAATGGAAAATGAAGAATTGTTTTGGAGTGTTCGGTTGGCTAAAAAAAAAGGAAATCAAAGAAATGGAGATGAGATGAGATGAGTTGTCACATTATTATTGGATGATGTGAGTGATATTTTAAGAAAACTAGTTTTGATGTTGTTCGGTTGGCGGGAAAAAATAAGGAAATGAATTATAAGAAACCTATTTCCTGTAGTTTTCTTGTTTTCTTTTGTTCGGTTCATTCTTAAAAATAAGAAATGAAATGAGATGAGATGAGTTGTCATTGTATTATTGGTTGATGTGAAGAAAGATTAAGAAATGTGTTTTCACAACTTTTTGGGATGAAATGGAAGAAATGAAATGTTAATGAGATGAGGTGAATTGTTATAATATTTTATTCGATGATGTGAGTGATTTGAAATAATAAAAAGAGATGAGTTGAGTGATGTTTGGATGAAAATAATATTTTATTAGATGTGATGGATGAGTTGTTAGATGAAAATAATATTTTATTAGATGTGGTGGATGAGTGGTTAGATGAAAATAATATTTTATTAGATGATGTGGATGAGTTGTTGGATGAAAATAATATTTTATTGGATGTTGTGGGTGAGTTTTAGGGATGGAAATGGAAGAAATGGATTATTTTGAGATTTCCACCATTTCCATTTCCATTTCTTGCTTTTTTGAAAACAAACGAACAGGCCCTAAGCGGGAAAAAGAAGGAAGAAACCTCAGGTTTACATTGACTTTGATTAAAAAAAAAGAGCTTTGCTACATGGACTCAAGACATGAGACCAATAAGGAGGACAAGTAAGGTGTCCCCCTCCTATTGGATAATGAGTTGGTCATCATTAATGATGGTCAACTCATTATCCAATAGGAGGGGATACGTCACTTGTTCCCCTATTGGTCCCATATTTTGGGTCCTTAAGGAATTTTTCAAAAAAAAAAAAAAAAAAACTCAAGATGAAAGTCAGTTTTTTTTTTTTCAAAAAATCAGAACATGAATTCAATCCCTGACTACAAATCTCCCTTCGAGCAATCCCTCTCGCTTCAATCCTTACAAAGCCCGAGGAAGGTCCTTAAAAAAAAATTAAAAACACAACAAAGGCAACTATTTGTGCAAAACAAGTGAAAAGATTGAATCAACTCACGAGATGGGCGCGGAAATGCGATGCTCGGGGGCCTGTAGAAAAGATTTGAAGGCCTTTGGAAGGAGGAGAAGGGAGATTTTGGAGAGAGGAGAGACATTTAGAACTTTCTTGGGTAATTAATTCTTGTTTCTTCTCGACGGAATTTTGACAAACAGATCGTGTGCGGATTGCAATAGACTTCGAGTTCGGTGGCTTCGGCTTCTCGACGGAATTTTGACAAACAGATCGTGTGCGGATTGCAATAGACTTCGAGTTCGGTGGCTTCGGCGGTTAGTGTTTGCTTGGCGGGCTTTCGTTGCGAACCGAGACCTTTTTTGGGGGAGGTATTTGTTTTGGAAGTGCGTTTAGGTGCAGATGTTTGGGCCGGCCCAGGAGATTATTAGGCCGGGCTGTGTATTTAATACCAACATGCCCCATGGGCCTCAAACTGTAGAGCAAAGGTCCATTAAGCTCTACTTTCTTGAAAATGAAATTAATATAAATAAATAGAGAAAAATGGGTGCCAAGCATAAAAAGTTGTGCTTGGTAGTGAGGTGGCATAATCTCCTCCACTTATTTAAATGGTTACATATCCACATGTATTACTCAACCCATGTGAATTTGATCCCTCATTTGAATGAGTGGAAAGAATTGTGTCAGCTCACTACCAAGCAATACCCATATTTTTCAAATAAATATGAAACAATGTTGTGGTCCCCTACCACACTTTACATCAAACAACAACAGATCCTCTCCCCCAATGGGTTTTTTTTAAGCAACAGTACCAAAAAAAAACATAAATTATCACGCACGTGATCCACACGCCACCACCCCGCCAATCCCCCCTACCACACTCCACAACAAGGGGGCATCGGCCGCCTCCCCCGAGAAATCCGAAACCCCAGGCAAACCATAAATATCATCTTTGAAAAGACAACTCCGATTCAAGAAACCCACCAATAATAAGAGGAAATTAAGCAAATGGGAGCCCTGATACTGCTCGTAGCGTCAGCCTTTCTCTTTGCGGCGGGCGCCGCCTCCGTGGAGGGCGGAAGCCCTAATCTCACCCTTCTTCGCACCGGTAGTTTACAAATATCACGTAATAAACTATATTTTTATTTTTATTTTTATTTTTATTATTATTTTTGATCGCAGACGATTTGGTTAGCGGTATTGGGCTGCTCCTCGGCGCCGGCAGGAGCCTACGAATACGGAGCCACGTCGACGCTACGTGGAGGAAAGTCCGATCGAATGTAGTGGCTCCGGTCGTGGAATCTATGATCGTCATATGCCTAGTCATGTCCGTCATGCTGGTAACGGAGATCGTGGTGAAACTTCTGCGGCGAAAGCCGGAGAGAAGGTACAAATGGGAGGAGATTGGGGGGGACGAGGAGACGGGGAGCTCGGCGTACCCTATGGTTTTGATCCAGATACCTATGTTCAACGAGAAAGAGGTCAGTAATTTGTCTTACGGCCTGTTTGGATGGAGGGTAGAGAAGGGGGAGGGGAAGTGAAATTTTAGTTTACTTTTGTTTGGCCAAAAATGCATAAGAGATCCCAAATAGAGGACCCGGAGGGTAGGTGAGGTGTCCCCCTCCGAATGCATGATGGAACATCTCACCTGTCCCCCGTTGGATCTCAAATTTTGGGTCCCTATAAGTGCACCCTTATTTGGAAGTTCCATTTAGAATGATAGAGAATGGGAATGAGGGGTAAAATTGAAATAAAATTTTATCCTAAAATTGGGGGTAAAGAAAGAGAAGGGAAAGGATTCCCTTCCATTTTCTTAAGGGCTGTTTGGTTCCCTGTATTTGAGAGAAAGCTCTCTTGAAAGCCTATCAAAAATATCAAAAATGTCACTTTTTGGGGGGCTTTCAAGCAAAATCGTCTCTTTTAGAAGCGATTTTACTGAACGCTTGCTAAAGAAGTGACACTTTGACAGACTTTCAAGGGGAAATAATTTCTAACCAAACGGACATTTAATCATCTCCTAAACACACGAAATAATAATAATAATAATAACAATAAATCTTTTATTTTAATTTTGGCATGCACGAATATTTATTTGGAAATGAGAAAGTTGTGTTGAAGGTGTACAAGCATTCGATAGGAGCGGCATGTGGGCTCACGTGGCCGTCTGATCGAATAATAATCCAGGTACTCGACGACTCCACGGACCCGGTTGTCAAGGTAAATTTATGTCAAACCCCTCCGCTTTTTTTTTAGTTTTAAATATATTTTCCTCAGGGATACCTAACACTTTATTAGTTGTCGTGTATTTGCTTTTCAGAAATTTCTTTTGTTACTTTTTTGTTTTACTTACATATTAATCAGCAATTTTATTTGTTACTGCATGAAGAACGACTGGTTTACAAAATTCAAGAAAAAGAAAAGGGTCGAAGCATCTCTAGAAAGAGAAGAAGTTAAAGAAATTCATTTCTTTGAGGGAGCAATATTTAATTTGAAAACGAAATATATATATATTTTTGGCCCCTTACACTTTACTCTTTTTTTATGCTCAAGTTTAAAACACTCACGAGCCTCACAACCACTTTTGTCTTCCCCTGTCAATATCAATAGATTACGAGAGGTCCAATAATAACTTTCTTGCTCAAAATCATAGCCGATACTTTTGACATAAAGTTATATAGTTTGCAGACCAAGGTATTGCAATGGAAGTTTCTTTATCTAAAGTGGCCACGGTCCATGTGATCCAAGGGAGGGGGCTCATAGTCATGATATGGGTCCCACCCAAATCTATTCCTCCAAAACAATTACGGCTGATGCTAAAGTAAATACTACTGTAGCATAAACAATAAATTAAATATGTAGGGTCTGTAATATTATAGCATAAACAATAAATCAAATATCTATTATTGAAGTTACCATTTATGCTACAGTAAATTTACTGTATCATAAACATTAAAGAAAATTACATGTATTAAAACTTGGATCTTTCTTTAAGTATGGAGGAGTAGATATGATTTCTAAATCAAATGAATTAATACTTGGACTCTTCTTTAAGTATAGAGGAGTAGATATGATTTCTAATTTTAAGCATATAATAATTACATCAAATGTATTAAAACTTAGAATGAGGCAAGTTTAAAATGCAGTGCTTAAAAAAATAGGGAGATGTGGTTTGCACGGGGTGCACACTAGTGAATACATATAAGAGTGAACTTATGACGGAGAACTATACACAACCCCTATTTAACACTAATTTTAAAGTTGATGATTACATTAATTTAGTGTTGGCTAATTTTCCTCTCCTATATGATTTTATATAGAGAATTTTCTACTTATAATAAATATTTGGGAAAAATGCTTCCAGCCCCCAAAAGCCAAGTGAACGTGTTTCCCACCCCCAAGACTTGGTCAATAAGTGTTTTACCCCTAAAAATAAAGATTTTGTTCTCTGAGCCCCCAAAACACAAAACCCAAGACATTAAAACATGTGAAGACCATAATACCATTCTCTCTCTCTTTCTTTTTTTATTAAAATATGATGATGATTATTTTATTATTTCTCTCTCTCTCTACGAAAATAATAAAATAATCCTCATCAATCATTTCAACTATCCTCTTGGTACATCATGATAAAGAGAGAGAGAAAACAAAAATAATAAAATAATCCCCATCATATTTTAATAAAAAAAGAAAGAGAGAGAGAGAGGATTCATAACCTTAACAACAAACCCTTAACCTTAACAACCAACCCGTAACCTTAACAATCAACCCGTAACTTTAACAACCTCCCAATACAAACAACCAAAATAATAAAAAACAAAAATAATAAAATAATCCTCATCAATCATTTCAACTATCCTCTTGGTACATCATGATAAAGAGAGAGAGAGAAAACAAAAATAATAAAATAATCCCCATCATATTTTAATAAAAAAAGAAAGAGAGAGAGAGAGGATTCATAACCTTAACAACAAACCCTTAACCTTAACAACCAACCCGTAACCTTAACAATCAACCCGTAACTTTAACAACCTCCCAATACAAACAACCAAAATAATAAAAAACGAAAATAATAAAATAATCCTCATCAATCATTTCAACTATCCTCTTGGTACATCATGATAAAGAGAGAGAGAAAACAAAAATAATAAAATAATCCCCATCATATTTTAATAAAAAAAGAAAGAGAGAGAGAGGATTCACAACCTTAACAACAAACCCTTAACCTTAACAACCAACCCGTAACCTTAACAATCAAATCCACAACCTTAACAACAAATCCACAACCTTAACAACAAACCCTTAACCTTAACAACCAACCCGTAACCTTAACAATCAACCCGTAACTTTAACAACCTCCCAATACAAACAACCAAAATAATAAAATACGAAAATAATAAAATAATCCTCATCAATCATTTCAACTATCCTCTTGGTACATCATGATAAAGAGAGAGAGAAAACAAAAATAATAAAATAATCCCCATCATATTTTAATAAAAAAAGAAAGAGAGAGAGAGAGGATTCATAACATTAACAACAAACCCTTAACCTTAACAACCAACCCGTAACCTTAACAATCAACCCGTAACTTTAACAACCTCCCAATACAAACAACCAAAATAATAAAAAACGAAAATAATAAAATAATCATCATCAATCATTTCAACTATCCTCTTGGTACATCATGATAAAGAGAGAGAAAAAACAAAAATAATAAAATAATCCTCCATCATATTTTAATAAAAAAAGAAAGAGAGAGAGAAGGGTATTATGGTCTTCACATGTTTTAATGTATTGGGTTTTGTGTTTTGGGGGTTCAGAGAACAGATTCTTTATTTTTAGGGGTAAAACACCCATTGACCAAGTCCTGGGGGTGGGAAGCATGTTCACTTGGCTTTTGGGGGCTGGAAGCATTTTTCCCTAAATATTTTATTAGGTGATAAGATTTCCCATGGGAAAAGGGACTGTTCCGTCTTCAAGTCCCACACCAACTTGGCCTTATCGTCTTTCTTTTGAGAAATAACTTCGCTTATTTTCTTTGGTCTTAAGCAATTCCAAAAGGAAAAGATAACATGTGACATACTCCATTCGTTTGGTGAGTAAATTTGCACACCTTACTAGACTACCTCATTTGGTTTCACACTGTCTTAAAATGTTAACCATTAATTAAGATAGCAGCTAAGATTGGGACAAGTCAGTGGCATTAGCATAAGACCAATTTACCATAGCCCTACTCGTAAAAAAACAAAACAAAACAAAACAAACAAACAAATAAACAAACAAACAAGTTGATGGCTCTCTATAGAAAATCGGGTTATCAGATGGAACAAGAAGGTTCCAAGTAGGGGTGAGCACGGTTCGGTTCGGGTCGGTTTTTACCAAAATTTGAACAACCGAACCGAACCATCTACAATTCAAAACCGAACCGAATCATTACAAATCGGTTCGGTGCGGTTCGGTTCGGTTTGTTCGGTTCTAACTTCATCAAGTATAACTTCCCTTCAATTTATCTTTATATATTATTATTACCCTATGCATACTGTTTTTAAGTGAAGTAACTTGTCCTTTTGGATTAAATACTAGACTCTGACGTTGTAATTTTTTAGTAACGGACTTGCTTTGTCTTTGTGTAGCAAGCTTTGACTTTGGTCTTTGTGGAGACAAAAAAAGGAGCTGACTCATTAGAACATTGGTTATGTATGAATTAATTCCCTACAACTGCTATTCATGGTGATCGAACACAGTAATAAACTCACAAATCAAAGGCACAAATATATTCGGTTGGTTCGGTTCGGGTCGGTTTAAAAAATTGTCAACCCGACCCGAACCGCCTTACTCATAAAACCGCTTTTTTCGGGTCGGTTCGGGTCGGTTCGGTCGGTTTTTTCGGTTTGAACCGAACCGTGCTCACCCCTAGTTCCAAGTGTTTCAACACGAATCTTAAAGTTGATGGTCATACTGATTAATAGGCAGACTATTTATACGGATTCATTATATTTTGCACACGCTTTCTACTATTTGGATTTAACACTAGGATACACATATTTCTCCTCAATAGAGTAATAACATCAGAAATTTAGGAGTCAAATTCCACTTCCACGAGCATATGAACCTATGACATATTTACCAAAACAAAAGGATATCCAATGCACATGCCAAAGTATTCTTTTGATGAGCCATGGTCAGTGACACCTTAACTCTCTCCCCTGGTTTCATGCACTGTTTTAAAATGCTGCTCATTGATTAAGATAATAATTAGTTAATGTAAGATCAGTCAGTGGTAGTGTTATAACAAACCTCCACATTGGAGGGTGTGCATATTAAATGACTCTTTCAACAGCTACTCATTGATTAAGATAATAATTAATATCGGATACTGTGTACTCTCTCGCGTTGGTGTTAAATAATGGGGTTAATAATGCCCATCACGTTGGTGGGGGTATCATTATCAAGAAATCGGATGCTCCTCTTTAGAGTAGCAAACAAATTCTTGAATAGGTACTAAAAAACTTCAAAAGGCACAAAGACAATAGTTTACGTACATATTCCCTATATTTCTATAATAGGCATTAGAAATAATTAAAGGGAGAACAAGGTTGTGTGGTTACCTGATATAAGTAGAAAAGGCATCTAAAAAGTTTTCATGACGAAACACAACATATCAGCATTTTCCACACTTTCCTGTAGTTTTTACATCCAACCAAACATGTTAACGTTGCTGAATCAAACTGTAGATGATAATATTTACTATGAATTCTTCATAGCTCACACTAAAAAAGCAAGATAAACAACATAAATTGACAATTAATCTAAGCCTCCTCGTTTGTGAGCAATATGTGTGGCTAACTTCAATCTTTTCCTGAAGGATTTGGTGGCACAAGAATGCAGAGTGTGGCAAAGCAAAGGAGTGAGGATCGCTTATGAAGTCAGGAACAACAGGAAAGGGTACAAAGCGGGAGCTTTAAAGAAAGGAATGGAGCATGATTATGTCCAGCAATGCGAATTCGTTGCGATATTTGATGCTGATTTCCAGCCAGACTCGGATTTTCTCTTGAAAACCATCCCCTTCCTGGTTCACAACTCTAGGATTGCTCTTGTTCAGGCTCGATGGGATTTCGGTAAGAAATTACGTAATTTTCCCGTGATCTTAAATATGCAAGCTACAAGTAGAAATAAAATTTTATTCAGATTATATTATAAAAAGCAGTGGTAATTAATCTGAGATCGCAAAGTGAAAAAAAAAAGAAAAAAGACAGAAATTCAGGCAGTCTTGTGTTATATAGAGATCAATTACAGTGAATTGCCTCCAGAAATATGCTTCATCTCATGCACAATAAAGCTTATGAAACAAAAGATTTTCAATTATATATCTGATCAATAAGATGATTGTGCAAATTTTACTAGTCAACCCTCATTTCACAAGGCATTGTACAGAACTAAATTGTACTAGTAACTAAACCCTCGTTTCCTCTACTGACTGTGACATGACATTGTACATAACTTCTTAGTTCATGACCAAAGTATGTTAAAGTCTCTTTGCACATATACAGACTTCAACTGAACCCTAAGAACACAGAAATTTCTAGTCGCTCTGATTTATTTATTTCTGCAATTGACAGGAAGTTGCTGACGTGGAATTTAACGGGCGATTTTGCAGTGAACTACAACGAATGCCTGATGACGAGGATACAGAAGATTTCTCTTGATTACCATTTCAAAGTGGAGCAAGAGGCAGGTTCATCCACCTATGCCTTCTTCGGCTTCAATGGTAAAAACAAAACTTCATCTTCAAAATAGTATCAATTTCAACAGAAGAAATTACAAAAGATTATTATATAAATTGACCACCTTAAATTTATTTGATTCAATTCGAATTCTATCTTAGTAAACTGACCAGATAACCTAGCATTGTGTTTTATGCCATATATAATCTTTGAATAAGAAGATATCGTAGAACCATTAGAGCTTTTAGCTTCTAGCGTCGGCACTTAAATATTTTTCTATCTACAAATAAAAAAAAAATGCAGTATAATGCACGTAAATAGGTAAAATTTCATAAAAAAGGAGCACAAATACCCATGCCCTCCTAATTTAAGAGAGCCTAAGAATCTAAACATGCATTTGAATACGACACTCACAATGATACCTGTATCTACAAATCATAGCCAATGCTGGTTTATGATGATAGAAAAAGAATTCTCTTCGAAATTTCCATTCAATAAATAGAAGGAAACAACGCCGTCTGACGATATTGATCATTTCTAGGGACTGCTGGTGTTTGGAGAATATCAACTATTAGTGAAGTTGGCGGCTGGAAAGATAGGACTACTGTAGAGGACATGGATTTAGCTGTTCGAGCGAGCATACGAGGGTGGGAATTCTTATATGTTGGTGACATTAAGGTATTCGATTTAATGGAAATTAAGAAACTCTATGAAGAAAAGTTTGTTTCATAGAGAATTAGTTTTGGCCCTTGTTCTGTGCAGGTTAAAAGCGAACTTCCAAGTACTTTCCAGGCATACCGCCATCAGCAACATCGATGGACTTGTGGTGCTGCAAACTTATTCAGGAAAGTGGTGTGGGAAACGGTGATGACAAAGGTGACCTTTTATATACAAGGTTTTAGGGTAATATAATACCGACGAAGCATAGTCATTTAACACATTCACATGTTTGATACATTTTTGTGCAGGAAGTGTCTATTTGGAAGAAGCTACATGTGATATACAGCTTTTTCCTTGTGAGGAAGATTATATCCCATATCGTCACTTTCACTTTCTACTGTATCGTTATTCCAATATCCCTCATGGTTCCAGAAGCCACGCTTCCTTTATGGGGTGTGATGTACATCCCTACAACGATCACTATCCTCAATGCTGTTAGAAATCCAAGGTACGCAACGTACATGATAAATCTTTTGCGTAAGCCTGGCCATATTATGATACGCAAAGTTTTTTACCTATTTGTCACAGGTCTATTCATATAATGCCATTCTGGATTCTCTTTGAGAATGTAATGTCGATGCATCGGATGAAGGCAACAGTCATTGGCCTAATGGAGACAGGAAATGTGAATGAATGGGTCGTGACAGAGAAATTAGGCGATGCGCTAAGGGCAAGGCCCGAAAATGGCGTGCCTGAGTTAACTTCTATTAGGCCTAGGAAGAGGTAAGAACAAATCTAGGGAAAAGAACTTGTTTTGGATGAGATGCTACTTATTTAAGTGTGTACTATGTTTTGTTTCTCAGGGTTTACTTCTCCGAACTAGGGTTTGCGGTCTTCCTGTTCTTTTGTGCATCTTATGATCTGGCATTCAAAAAGGACTGCTTCTACATATACATCTACCTCCAAGCTATTGCTTTTATCGTCGTGGGCTTTGGTTTTGTAGGCACTTCAACCTGTAACTCATAGCATTGGTGATAATTTATTGAAATCTTTCTGTAACACTAAAACCATGAATCTGGGAGTCTCAAGATTGTTCAGAGTGATGCATTGGAGAGGTCATAGATGTACTCAATAACAACAGTATATTCTTCGGGCCAAGTTTTAGACGGCCCTTTCAAATTTATCTATTTGAATTTTCAAAATCAATCTGGATGCAAAATGAGTTTAGCTTCAGCTTATCACTGAATGAACAAATAATAAATGAGTTTAGCTTCAGCTTATCACTGAATGAACAAATAATAGACACTAGAAACGAAAACAGCATACAATCAAGTTCATTGGTTAACTGTGTTTTTTTTTTCCAAAAAAAAAAGAACAAATCACTATGGATAAGCATCAAAATGAATATGATGAAGAGAGAGATTGAACAAGAAATACATATTTAAACTTTTATTCAGTAATATCCAAGCGCGACAAAAGACTGACAAAATGATGATGTAAAGAGCACCATACGTTAAGTACAAAAAAATGCCGAAGACATTAAGAAAGCAAAAGAAAGGCCTTCAAGAAATCGACACACAAGACACGCAGCGTATCTCAAGCCTTTTGAATCTGGAATAAATTATGTGAATGAAATCTCGCTCTTCTGACCAAATTGAAAACAGCAACCTACCGAAAGGCGACCTTGAAAGCCTTTAGATAGGCAACCTTCTACCGCACAAGCTGATGGTGAAGTCTGAAGGGAGCCAAGTAAATTATGTCCGCTTACATCACTTTGAGAATTTATTGTGCCATCAACAGTACACATATCAGAATCCATCTGCTTTGCTCGCTTGTATTTATGATCTAAATTTGAATAATTCTCACAGAACATAGGTGTTGCGTCACATTTGCCTTCAGTTTCCATAGTAAGTTTCCTTTTCGAGCCGGGAAGTAAGTTCAATCCTGTGAAATGTAAAAAAAAAGAAAAAAATAGAAGGCGATACATCACTCTTAATGCTGATATATCATGAACAGATATTTACACTGGATGGAAGCAATGAAATATATACCACTAAGAATATTGGTTATGCCAGGTGTTTCCATGTCTGTGCAGCTGCAACAGAATTCCTGAGCGCTACAATTACTGGACTGATTTATTCTGCAATGTTAGAAGAGCATGTAAGAAAGAATGCTAAAAAAATACGACGACAAAAAATGAATTATCATGACTCATTGTGTCTTACAGAGAAGCTAAAGCAAAACATGACGTAGGAAGCTATTTAACATCCATAAAATCATTGACATGTAGGATGAAGGGCAACATAGTTAAAAGAACTATGCCATTGTTTGTTGGAAATTTGCAGTAAAAAGACAATGAAAGAAAATTTGACTTGTATTCCTCTCAAAATCAATTACAATTTGGATTCCGATTACAAAAGAGAGGAGAATGAATTTGATTCTCCCCTTTGTTTAATTCTGGGTTCTTCACGGTGGCGATGAGATGCCTCCCTCGAATGCTCGCGTCGAGTTTGCTTCTCGTTGACGATCCGAACGTCTTGATTCACTGGAACGATGTCTTCTCCTCACGATTTGACGCTGTGGAGAACTTGCGTGGCAAGTTTTGAAATAACTCTTGACGAGTTGATAACTCTGAACGAGTTTTAGAAGAACTCGTAGAGTAAGTTTTGAACTCTGATCGAGTTGATAACTCTGACGAGTTTTAGAAGAACTTGCAGAGCAAGTTTTGAACTCTGATCGAGTTGATAACTCTGAACGAGTTTGAACTCTTGAAAAAGAGTTGATTTGAACCGAAAGTCGGTTATAAGCCAAGGGAATGCTCCTGTGGTCGATCGTTGCTGAGGATGAACGTCGATCGCCCCCTTGCTGCCCAAAAAGAAGGATCCCAGAGCCCAGAGCCAAAAGCCAGCCAAAAAGGAGAGCCCGAACTCAGTTGAGTTTCCCACTATTTATAGGGGATTTAGGGGTGGAAACTGCCCCCTTAATTAGCTCCTCCATGGGCTGAGTGGGGTGTAACCACCCCCTCTTAAACAGCTCCCGAAATAGTGGGGAAAACGGTTTTGAAACCGTTCTGTTAGTGCTTTGAACGAGTCAAAACGCTGAAAACAGCGTTCTGGGCCTTAACTCTGCGTCTTATTGATGAGACGCAGAGTTGGGCGCTTGTTGGGAGTTGAAAACGCAAGGGCCGCTTGCGTTCGGACCTTAACTCTGCGTCTTAAAGATGAGACGCAGAGTTGGGCGCTCGCTGGGAGTCGAAACGCACAGGCCGCATGCGTTTTAGAGATGAACTCTGCGTTTTAGGCTAAAAACGCAGAGTTGGGCCTGTTTAAAGGCTGAAAACGCACAGTTGTGCTGTTTTAGAGATTAACTCTGCGTTTCTAGACTGAAAACGCAGAGTTGAGCCTGTTTAAAGGCTGAAAACGCACAGTTGTGCTGTTTTAGAGATTAACTCTGCGTTTCTAGACTGAAAACGCAGAGTTGAGCCTGTTTAAAGGCTGAAAACGCACAGTTGTGCTGTTTTAGCGATTAACTCTGCGTTTTGATGTTGAAAACGCAGAGTTGAGCATGTGCGCTTTGACTCTGTAATGCAGAGGCGAACCTTAGGCGGGCTTGGCGGGCTTCAGGCTAAGTCCAATGTTCTGATGAAGTCCAGTCTTGCAGACGGACCTCAGAACATAATTTGCTGCGAAGAACAGGTCATAACTTTCAAACCGTAAGTCGGAATTAGACGAATTATATATGAAAATCGGCTATCTCGACGAGACGGGGCCATCCGAACCAAGCCGAAGGCTTCGGTTCGCTTCCTCCGTTTTGCCAAATTCCTTACGGTTTGAGAGATATCTGCATTCTAATATGAAGAGACCGTCAATTTGTAGTCTCTTTTGCTAGAGCTTTGCACAGATCGTCCTCTTGTAATCTTCGTCTTGGCTCCTTGAAAATATGAGAGTCGTCAGATTGTAACTCCCGATGTTGATTGTGAAGGCTATTGAATTGGAGTTTTCATCAGTTGTCGTGAAGGTCCTCAAATTGTAGCCTACTGGAAGTCGTCAGATTGTAACTTCCATCATCGGTGTTTGATGGGGGATAAGCTATCTATTGTGATTTTTAGACAGCCTACAGAACCCCCTCCAAAGTTTTCGAAAGTTCGCGGTTGACTGGGACGAATTTTCGGAATACTTTGGATCTCAACTCTGATCTTGGAGCTGTTGATTCCTTGTCACAAAGGAGTTGTTCTCTGCACTCGCTTCGAAAGCAGCTTGGTTGAACGGATTTTCCATGCAGGACCTGTGTGAAGGTATGTGCCATAATCCTGCTTCTGGAATGTGGGGGTGGACCCTGCATTTTGAACTTGAGATGCGGGTTTCACCGTTGCATGTTGAATTTGGAACACAGGTGTGACCTCGGCGTTTGGTTTTTTGCATCGCGGGTCAACATTTTGACTTAAGACATGGAAGTGGCTTCCGTGCATTTTTGACTAAGTCTTTGAGACTTGTCTTTGGCGCATCTGTTTTAAGTCTCGACTCACATCTATTAAGCCGATGGGCCTGCAAATGTGCGTAGGATTTTTGGCAAACCCTCAGCCATCAACGGATTTGATAAGCCTTTACCGACTACCGTTTGAGTCGGGCTAGCATGTGAATTATCTAGGTCCGTTCCACATGTAACGTTGTGCTAAGAGAATGAACTCTCTTAGTCTTGATGCTATGATTTTGAATACATAGACTTTGTCATTTTGACGGGAAAAGACTAACCGGCAACGCGTGTTAGGCGTAGACTTATCTCTATTTAGGGATCGAGATAAAGTCCCCCATGCGTGTGAGGCATGGATTTTGATGTCCTTTTCACGGTAAAAGACTAACCGGCAACGCGTGTTAGGCGTAGACTTATCTCTATTTAGGGATCAAGATAAAGTCCCCCATGCGTGTGAGGCATGGATTTTGATGTCCTTTTCACGGTAAAAGACTAACCGGCAACGTGTGTTAGACATTGACTTATCCCTACTTAGGATTCAGGATAAAATTCCCCATGCGTGTAAGGCATGGATTTTGGCGTTATTAATAACGACCTGCTACGATATTGAATACGTAGGCTTTGCTATTATTGCGGGAATAGGCTACCCGGCAGCATGTGTTAGATGCAGACTTATCTCTAATTAGGGATCGAGATAAAGTCCCCCATGCGTGAAGGCATGGATTTTTGGTGTCATTTCTTCCTGTGTAGCTTGAAACACCGAAAGAATTAACAAGTTCATTGGGGGGTTGACTGTTAGAGGTGTTATGTTAACATAACAGTATTTTACGGACCTATCGCTCTATTGAAGAGAGTCGATAAGTTGATTTGGTCGTCAGAGGTGTGGTGTTAACTTGACGAGTTTGTGGACCTATCGCTCCATTGAAGAGAGTCGATAAGCGGATTTTGTCAGAGGTGTAGTGTTAACGTGACAAGAAAGATATTGCTATGGAAGCAATTTTGAGAACTTATCGCTCAATTGGAGAGAGTCGATAAGTTGATTTGGTCGTCAGAGGTGTGGTGTTAACTTGACGAGTTTGTGGACCTATCGCTCTATTGAAGAGAGTCGATAAGTGGATTTTGTCAGAGGTGTAGTGTTAACGTGACAAGAAAGATATTGCTATGGAAGCAATTTTGAGAACTTATCGCTCTATTGGAAAGAGTCGATAAGTTGATTTTGTCAGAGGTGTAGTGTTAACGTGACAGGATTTGTGTTGCAATTGGAGCAACTTTGGGGACTTATCATCCTATTGACGAGGATTGATAAGTGGGTTTTGTCAGAGGTGTATTGTTAACGTGACAAGAATTTGGAGTGATGCAAACTGAATGCATACTCTGTGGGGATGATGATCGTCAGAAGTGTAATGTTAACTCGACGATGTGAAAGATTCGTTACTCTTAATCCAGTGGATTCCAAGTAACCAACCCCCAGTCTTGATGAAGACTTAGCAGGGGAATAAAAAAGAGGTAGACAAGGCACATAGCCTAGTGGGGCACTATCCATAAAGTCGGAATAGAG